TTTGTACTGTAAGATGGAATTCCTTTTGTTACTGTAAGATGGAATTCCCTTTGTTACTGTAAGATGGAATTCCCTTTGTTACTGTAAGATGGAATTCTATTTGTTACTGTAAGATGGAATTCCCTTTGTTACTGTGAGATGGAGTTTCCTTTGTTAGTGTGAGATGGAATTCCTTTGTTACTGTGAGATGGAATTCCCTTTGTTACTGTAAGATGGAATTCCCTTTGTTACTGTAAGATGGAATTCCTTTTGTTACTGTAAGATGGAATTCCCTTTGTTACTGTAAGATTGAATTCCCTTTGTTACTGTGAGATGGAATTCCTTTGTTACTGTAAGATGGAATTCCCTTTGTTACTGTAAGATGGAATTCCCTTTGTTACTGTAAGATGGAATTCCCTTTGTTACTGTAAGATGGAATTCCCTTTGTTACTGTAAGATGGAATTCCCTTTGTTACTGTAAGATGGAATTCCCTTTGTTACTGTAAGATGGAATTCCCTTTGTTACTGTAAGATGGAATTCTATTTGTTACTGTAAGATGGAATTAGAGTTGTTACTGTGAGATGGAATTCCCTTTGTTACTGTGAGATGGTATTCCCTTTGTTACTGTGAGATGGAGTTTCCTTTGTTACTGTGAGATGGAATTCCCCTCGTTACTGTAAGCTGGAATTCCCATCGTTACGGTAAGCTGGAATTCCTCTCGTTACGGTAAGCTGGAATTCCCTTCGTTATGGGAAGCTGAAATTTTCCTCCTTACGGTAAGCTGGAATTCCCCTCGTTACGGTAAGCTGGAATTCCCTCAGTTACTGTGGGATGGAATTCCCTCCGTTACTGTGCGATGGAATTCCCTCCGATACTGTGCGATGGAATTCTCTGTTGTGTAGTCACAGCACAGACCTGTGCAATATAAGGCTTTACTAGTAAAATTTGGCTAAAATAGCGCTCTGCTGCTTTTTTAAACTAGTGTTTGTACAAGAAACATTTTTTTAATTTAGGTTAATAGGTTAAATTTGTGTTTGTCCACAATTTTAGGACCAGTTTAATTCTACAATGTCTATAAAGTTTTATTTATCATTATTTAGTAAAGAAATAATTAAAATGATTTGTTATATTCATAAAATATTTACTAATGTCTAACTTCAAAATGTTTCAAGTTTCAAACACTTATTGCACAATATACCTCAGATTGGTGTTGGGAGGATGCCAATCTGCAACCTCAATGGGAATTTGCTTCATTACTGTAAGCTGGAATTCTCGTCATTACTTGGATTGATGGAATTCTCGTCATTACTTGGATTGATGGAATTCTCCTCATTACTGTATTGATGGAATTCTCGTCATTACTGTATTGATGGAATTCTCGTCATTACTGTATTGATGGAATTCTCTTCATTACTGTATTGATGGAATTCTCTTCATTACTGTATTGATGGAATTCTCTTCATTACTGTATTGATGGAATTCTCTTCATTACTGTATTGATGGAATTCTCGTCATTACTGTATTGATGGAATTCTCGTCATTACTGTATTGATGGAATTCTCGTCATTACTGTATTGATGGAATTCTCTTCATTACTGTATTGATGGAATTCTCTTCATTACTGTATTGATGGAATTCTCGTCATTACTGTATTGATGGAATTCTCTTCATTACTGTATTGATGGAATTCTCTTCATTACTGTATTTATGGAATTCTCTTCATTACTGTATTGATGGAATTCTCTTCATTACTGTATTGATGGAATTCTCGTCATTACTGTATTGATGGAATTCTCGTCATTACTGTAAGCTATAATTTTCTCACAATATTTTTATTTGTAGTAAAGTGGAGCAGGTCACATGGGGCTGTCGTCAGAAAGAAAGGTGTACCAATGTTACCAGAAGATGGTAAGTTACAACTCAAAATATCACCAAGCCTGGAGTCTTAGTATGGATCATATTATAATATTACATTTCTCCTATCAAGATAAAAATGTTAGATTGAACCAAATGTATTCTGTCATTGGTGGGTGGCTCAAAATTTATGGTTGATATTATTCTTCCAATACAAATACATGAAGACAAACAGTTGTCTTTTCTCCATTAGAAGTCCTGCTCCAATAGAAACACTGGTAAACCCCAAATCACAAATCAGCAAAAAATTTTGTATTCTGAATTATTAGCTCCACTGTTGAATTTATCAAGCGAAGTTTATAATATGAGTGGTTGTCCACCACCTGATTGCTTTGATACTTAGTGTAGGTGTACCTTGAGTAGACCTCACTTAGATTTGTTCATTTATTGATGATATCTTCAATTCTGTAATTTTGATGAATATTTTTGTCATTTTTGGTAAAAAGTGATATTTTGGACTTCTTGTTAAAAACCTCAAGTCTGATTGATTTGATAGTATACATAAAAGTACTACAGGTGGACCTCTCTTATATTTGTTCATTTTGTGAGGATTTCTTCAATTCTTTAATTGAAAAGTGCAACAGTGGAGCTATCTCACCCTAGAGGCTGCTTGTTGAAATATTACTTATTTGACCTAGAAATACCTCTGTAAGTTTAGTGAACACATGCATTCCTAAAATATAGTAGTTATGGTAACAGTTTATCAGGTCACTTTATAAAAACATTACATTTTACCAGGATGTCATGCCTGCTGCATAGTAGTTTTGAGTTGCTTTTGCTTTTATTGTTTTATGAACACTAGAGGGCGCAAACTATGAACTAGTGTAATGACAATATTTGTTATGGCTTTGGCTGTGGTTGTTGCAGTTACGTGCAATTATCTGTATTATTTTGATTAATGCTTTTTGATAAAATGGTAAATTTAATTTGTATGCAGTACGGGATAATTGGAACAAGATTACAGATTTCACCAATTTTACCTTTCCAGGTAGGTTCGCAAATAATATAAATGTTAGTAGAACATTTTCACTCAATCCCATCAATTGATCATGACTTTCTTGTATCATTTCTTTAGCTTTTTCTTTTGTAAGCAACATTGTATTGACTTATTATGATTAGAACAAATTTTCACATCAAGTAAATTCTAGTTTCAATGATGTAAAAAAAATGTACAGGTGACCTAGTGAACCATGTCAACTATCTATGATACGTTTCACACAAACATTTTGAAGTCAATGAACATTTTGAAATTTTTTTTGTAGAATATCTTTGTTAATTTTAGACCAACTAGACAGAATTCTACATTGCCTACATGTTTTGATAAATGGGTTCAATTTTGTGAATGGTGACATATGTTGACCTTTGCACCCAAAGAGTCAAAGGTTAAATACTGATTGTTCTCAATTGTTTATATATATAATTTGAATAATTATTATAAAAGTAATCATGAATTTTCTATTTCTATAAATACTAAGAGCTAACAGATGGTGCAGTTTTAGTGCCTTGATAATGTAATCTTGCATTTCAGCATTCAAATATTGATATTTCTTTGTAGAGAATTTTCAGAGACCGTATTTAGTGTTGAATGAAATTGAAAGTGATACTGATACCTCTGCTACCAAACCTTTACGATCTGCAACTAGGAACCACAATGTAAATCCGGTATAAATTGACATAATCTATATTTAATTCTCTTTTTTATGATCTTTGGGTATAAGGTACGATTTAATGGTGACATTCTCAGTAAAGCAAATGTCTTTTTCATTCTTCGGAGATCATGCGACTTCCTAATTTTCTGGTTCGACACATTTGGTATTCAAGACTAATTTGCCATCACTACAAGTAGAATCAGGTTTGTTGATCACTCTGTGTTTTAGCTAATGAAATTTAATAAAAACTTTCCAAAGCTGTACATTTGTTATTCCAAAGTCGCACATGTGCATAATTGAAAAACTGAGAATGAATTTTCATATCAACAATGACATCTCTCAATTATTTTTCTGTTCCTTATCCATCAAGAAAATGATATAACACATTTTTAGCTCCGTTGTCGAGCTGAGCTTATGATATGAGTGATTGTCCACTGCTTGAATGCTTTGATACTTAGTGTAAATGTACCTTGGGTAGACCTTTCTTAAATATGTTCATATTATGATGATATCTTCAATTCTCTAATTTTGGTGAATATTTTTGACATTTTTGGTAAAAAGTGATATTTTCGACTTCTTGTTGAAAACCGTAAGTCTGATTGCTTTGCTGTTATATATATATACTACATGTGGACCTCTCTCAGATTTGTTTATTTTGTTATGATATCTTCAATTCTCTAATTTTGGTGAATATTTTGGTAATTTTTGGTAAAAAGTGATATTTTCGACTTCTTGTTCAAAACTGCAAGTCTGATTGCTTTGATACCTACTATACATATAGGTACCTTAGGTAAACCTCTCTCAGATTTGTTCATTTCGTGATGATATCTTCAATTATCTAATTTTGATGAATATTTTTGTTAATTTTGGTAAGAAGTGATATTTTCGAATTCTTGTTGAAAACAGCAAGTCCGATTGCTTTGATACTATACATATTGTTCATTTTCTAATGATATCTTCAGTTCTTTAATTGAAATGCGCTTTGCCAACAGCGGAGCTATCTCAGCCGACGGACTGCTTGTTTTAAATTTCAATTCATATAAATTTTTGATTTAGAGTTATAAAACACCTCTGAAAAGCGATGTGGTGTTCACCGAGATGGGTAAAAGAGTCACCACGGACATGGTGAACAAAATAAATGCTGTCTTTCTCTATACAATCACTGATGAAAATGGAAAAACACTCTCTCAATGGAGTAAGTCTAAACTTTAATAAGTAATTTGCTTTTATCTATTTATCTTTTTTTCTTTGATTTAAATTTGTTGGTTTAATATTTGTGTACTTTTATTTTTACATGCAGTGCAATTTTTGAACTCATGAATAAATGTATTTCTATTATGTTTGTGATGATAAAATCATTTTTCGCAGAATTTTATAACTGAAACTATAATTTCCTGTTGATTTTTAACCAAATGAATATAATTTCATGTTGCCAATGGCTAACTGACAAAATGGCCACCATTTGTGAAAATACAACCCAAATTTTCTCAAAAAGACTGGTGACCCCCAAAACTTTTTAATAATCGAATTCCTTTTATTGATTTGAGTGTATTTTTTTGCAAAATGGATAAAATCTGATTATTTTCATTCTTGAATCGCATTTACCTTAATCATATTTTTTTCTTTCGTGTACCTTTGAACCAATTTACAAACAATACAATATTTGTAATATGTTTCTGACAATGCAACAAATTTGTGCTCACTGTTCCATTAATGTGTTGTATGCAACAGGAGTAAAATACATTGTTTGTTTGCAAGTAATTGAAATAGAATATCTCTCACAGCCATGGATTTGAAGAATGGTTCTGGATCTGTTTACTCTGGCAAGCCAAAACAAGATAAACCAGCGGCTACACTGACTATATCTGATGATAATTACCTGGATATGGTTAGCGGTAATTTAAACTCACAGGAGGTAATGTCGAAGAAAAATAATCAACATCTGTGTTTACATTCATTCAAACTGTATTTGCGCTCATTCAAAACCGCGTTTGCACTCATTCAAACTGTGTTTACACTCATTCAAACTGTGTTTTTACACTCATTCGACCTGTGCTTGCACTTATTCAAACTGTGCTAGCACTCATTCAAACTGTGCTAACACTCATTCAAACTGTGCTTGCACTCATTCAAACTGTGCTTGCACTCATTCAAACTGTGCTCGCACTCATTCAAACTGTGCTCGCACTCATTCAAACTGTGCTCGCACTCATTCAACTGTGCTCGCACTCATTCAAACTGTGCTCGCACTCATTCAAACTGTGCTCGCACTCATTCAAACTGTGCTCGCACTCATTCAAACTGTGCTCGCACTCATCAAACTGTACTCGCACTCATCAAACTGTACTCGCACTCATCAAACTGTACTCGCACTCATTCAAACTGTGCTCGCACTCATTCAAACCATTTTGCACTCGT